AAAATTATTCTGCTGTTCAAACCATTTATTATCATTTTAATTCTGTGAGAAACATAATGAGGTGTTGGACAACATGTCTGAGCCTCTGTTTTCCATGCAACAAAATGATTGACGCATGCTTCAAAACAGGCCAAAAACACAATAAAAGTGTAATATAATAACAAGCTATTGCTTTAAAGAGGCTGTTGCCTTTGCATATGTTTATTTGAATATCCAAACGCAATATAAAGGCCAGTGTTCAGTTCAAACTAGGGTGACGAGACTTTTTTTATTTGGTGAGTTTTATGTCGGCTTGTGTGTCAAGCACAGTTTGCACTCCTCTCCGTGAGAATGCATTGAAACAACATGTAAACTGACCATCGACGGCGAGCGATGCAAAGCGTGTGTGTGTGTGTGTGTGTGGCTGCTTTACTGCAGACTGCTGGTTAGTGGGCTTTACTAACCCGTGTCTGGACGCTCTCTGCAGGTTCTCAGCCAGCTGTGCGTCCGGACAGAAGACACGACGCTGCTCTCATATGCAGTCCGACTGGATATTTATGAAGCTTTCAAGGCCTTTTGGTGAGTCCCGCTGGCTTTGCGCTGCTCTTGTTCTCTCTGCTGGACTGTGTTCAAACTGACATCATGTTATCCAAGAATAGTACATAAAAAAAGTGTGTTTCTATTTTTGTATCCTTGAAGTGAGTAGTGTTTGTTTATGTCATATATTTATTAATTTGCTTATTTGTTGTTGTTATTTTCTTGCCATTTAAATATAATAATAATAATCATATATATATATATATATATATTTAATCATGACTAAAATAAAAATTAATGTTTAAAACAAATTTAAAATATTAAAAAGCAAATAAAATTCAAACTAGTAGTTAAACTGCAAGTTACACTTTTAATGAAGTATTTGGCTGGACTACAGCATGATATGATTTTTTTAATTTTTTTTTTAAATCATAGCTGTGTTTTCATTGGGTGGCAGAGTTAAACTTTGAAAACGAGCATTCGCACTGATTTGTGAGGGTTGTGGTGTGGCTCTGGCGGGTTTGTGAATAGCTCTCGTGAACCGTGTGAGATACACAGTGTAATTGGACGGGCCGCAGTACTGGATTCTCCCTGTGTGTCTCAGGCTGCATCTGCCAGTGAACGCTTTACATCACAGTCTGACCACTGACCGCACAGACCTGCTGTCTGCCTGAATCCAGACCACTGAGGATAGTTTGCTTTACTCATTCCAGAAAAGAGGATTTCATGTTTACTCTTAAAAGAAAGGCCCAAAATATGTTTTATTTTTTGAAAGCAGTGCCAGAGAAAAGCTATTTTTGGTTTTGAGTGGTTGCTAGGTTGTTTTTGGTGGTTGCTAGGGTGTTGGAAAAAAACCCGAAAGAATCTTTTTCTACTATAAAGAACGTTTTGTGGACCGGAAATATTACATCGATGTTAAAGGTTCTTCATGGAACCACCGACGCCAATAAATAACCTTTATTTTTAAGTGTATGGCATCCTGTTTGTGTCTAAAAATGTTGACTTATTAGTGCAATACATTTGTCTTTGTCTGCTGTTATTGCTTTTGCACAAATAGAATGCCATCATTTTTGGAAACATCCTTTCATTAATGACAGAATGAGACATAAACAAAGAACATGCACATAATTATATACTAGGGGTGTATGATATTGACAAAAAAATGATATCTTGATATTTTGGGGATTTTTTTTTTCTTTTTTTCGATAACGATAATTACACAATAGTGTGCTTGGCTGGTTTAGGCCGGTCATGGATAAATCAATGACACTAAAACAGCCAGTAGGCGGCAGCAAGTCCCTGTCTTAATGAGTGATTCATTGAATTATTCACTCAAACCATTTGTTCAAAACAGCAGATTCAATTAGAAACAAAGCAAGTGACTGTCTTTATGAATGGATCATTAAATCACTGACTTAAGTGATTCGTTCAGAATCATTCAGGAATGAAACTCTGAGATGTAAAAATGTTCTAATCCAGCTTTGCTTGAAGAGCTTTTTGTTGGTGAAACAGACAATATTGTGTCTAAAATGTAACTCGCTGAATGTTAACTTCTTGTTTGTATAAAATCAGTATCACTCTCGTACAACTCATAATTATTATGTCACAGATGATGTAATTAAATTAAGTTTATTATGGTTTAATTTTATGAATGACTTTTATGAATGACTGCCTGTGTGTTTTAGTGACACAAGAATGCCATGTTGACCAATCAGCATCCAGGATGTGTTTTAATGCCTCATTGATCGTTACTTCTGTCTTCGTGAGAATTGTATTTCTTGAGGCCTTTTGGTTTTGTAATGAATTCAGTGGAGCAGATGAATGCAGTGTGTTATTCCTTTCACAGCAGCGACTGTTGCATAAGATCTTTATTTAGTAAAAGCCTCTCAACGCTGAGGAGTTTCAGTCCGGGACAGACGCTGTAAAGCTCTGCGCTTTCACCTCTGTCCGAAGTGCTCCTCAATGGGCCATATTAAAGTCACACAATCACTTTATTTACTTTTTTATTTCTGATTTATATTTATTCGTGCATAGTAGCCCAGTCACATTTATTAAGAATGTATGATGCGAGTAGTTGCACAATGTTATGTAATTATGTGGTCACTAAGATCTTCTTAGGGGTTTTTAGAATGTTGTTGTTTGTTGCTAGGGTGTTCTTGGTGGTTGCTAGGGTGTTCTGAAGGGTTTTTAGAATGTTGCTTGTTGCTAGGGTGTTCGGAGTTGTTTTTAGAATGTTGTTGTTGTTGTTGTTTGTTGCTAGGGTGTTCTTGGTGGTTGCTAGGGTGTTCTGAAGGGTTTTTAGAATGTTGCTTGTTGCTAGGGTGTTCGGAGTTGTTTTTAGAATGTTGTTGTTGTTGTTGTTTGTTGCTAGGGTGTTCTTGGTGGTTGCTAGGGTGTTCTGAAGGGTTTTTAGAATGTTGCTTGTTGCTAGGGTGTTCGGAGTTGTTTTTAGAATGTTGTTGTTGTTGTTGTTTGTTGCTAGGGTGTTCTGGGTGGTTGCTAGGGTGTTCTGAGGGTTTTTTAGAATGTAGTTTGTTGCTAGGGTGTTCTGAGGGTTTTTTTCAAATGTTGTTGTTTGTTGCTAGGGTGTCCTGGGTGGTTGCTAGGGTGATCTGAGTTTTTTTTTTTTTTAGAATGTTGTTGTTTGCTGCTAGGTTGTTCTGGGTGGTTGCTAGGGTGTTCTGAGGGTTTTTTAGAATGTAGTTTGTTGCTAGGGTGTCCTGGATGGTTGCTAGGCTGTTCACTGAAGTCTCTGTGATATTTTTATCCCTGAATATGACTCGGGTCCCTCCTATACTGCAAGTCTGTGGGTTTTTTTAGGTCTTGCCCTATCATTATGTCTTTGTGTTTCTTTCTCTGTGGGCTAGTTATATGGTACTAATAGAGAAGACGTTCTCAGATGTCACAGAATTTCATGCCGAGTAAGTGAGATTCCCCAGAGACGGCAGGAACAATCGCCGGAATGTAGGAATTTAATTTTGATTTTTTGGTAATATTGCTTATCTACGTGTCCCGGGACAAGTCACTGTGAAGAAAAAGCATTTAATTCCCTTACTTTGGTAATTTGGTTGTGGTTTTTCCTAATGAAAACACTAGATTTTGTGTGTGTGTGTGTGTGCGCGTGCGCTAAACTAAAGTAAAAATAAATTTATAAATATTAGATAAACTTATTTAAAAAGCTTAAATTAGAAATAGTGCCTTGGCAACTAATTGAAATAAAATGTTGTTAACATGGCTTGAACTGATGGTAAAACTAATGACATTATTTACTGTCTTTACATTTATTTTGAAAGATGAAGCTCGCGATTATTGTAAGGGGCGTTACATTTCCGACGAGTGCTTGCGGTGTTCGGCCAATCACAATGCACTGGGTCAGCTGGCCAATCAGAGCAGACTGCGCTTGTCGGAAGGAGGGACTTTGTAGAAAACGAAGCGTTTGAGAGAGGCGGGGCATAGAGGACCTACAATAATGTACAGTATTTGAAAAATAATGTGTTTTTTGAACATTAAAGCATGTCAACATATTCTGTTACACCAAATACACAAAATAATTATCTTTAAGAAAGCATCATATGACCCCTTTAAGGCGAGACACTATAGGCAAAAACTTCTTGAGATTTTGGGCTATTTGGCTTTTTAATGTTGTTTCAGGCTAGTGGAAATACTTTCACAATACACATTTAATTGTTAATTTTATTACAATTTATCTATTTGTGTCTGTAGATTTAATTATTTAATGTTATTTATTTAATGATTGATTTTTATTTATTTAATGTTTTTTACTAATGTTATTGATTTAATGTTTAAATATCCAGTTACATACACTAAACTTCTGAAGGTTTCTACAGAGGGGTTTGTTCAGATATCATTCACCTGATTTTATACAACATTCTATTCCTAAAACATGGTGGAAATGTGTTTTTCTGGCTGTTGACAGTACAGAGTGATAAAAGGAGATATCCCCTCTGTAAAAAAACCCTTTGACTCTAATATGTCAACAAAATGAAACAAGAATTTTGATCCAATGTTCAGATTTCTGTTCTGGAAATGCATGCAAATTAGTGCATATTTAATTAGATTATGTGTCATTTGCATACTTAAACCTGGCATGTAAAAAATATATATATTTTGATATTTTTGTCAGTTGCCTTTCATAATTGTTACACTGTTTGTATTTGACTAAAAAGCCTCAGCCTGTTTAATGGCAGTTCAATAATAGCGCGAGACAGTGGGACATTCACACTCTTATTTATAGCAGACCTGTTGATGTAACCTGTTGCCAGCCCTGCATCATGTGAATGTTATATGCACAGCAATGCAGTAAAATCCGCTGAGATGCACTGGAGAAACCGGTTCTGTGAGGCGTCCTCAGTGTAAAAGCAGGAGGTTCTGTGTGTGTGTGTGTGTGTGTGTGTGTGTGTGTGTGTGTGTGGCTGCTTTACTGCAGACTGCTGGTTAGTGGGCTTTACTAACCCGTGTCTGGACGCTCTCTGCAGGTTCTCAGCCAGCTGTGCGTCCGGACAGAAGACACGACGCTGCTCTCATATGCAGTCCGACTGGATATTTATGAAGCTTTCAAGGCCTTTTGGTGAGTCCCGCTGGCTTTGCGCTGCTCTTGTTCTCTCTGCTGGACTGTGTTCAAACTGACATCATGTTATCCAAGAATAGTACATAAAAAAAGTGTGTTTCTATTTTTGTATCCTTGAAGTGAGTAGTGTTTGTTTATGTCATATATTTATTAATTTGCTTATTTGTTGTTGTTATTTTCTTGCCATTTAAATATAATAATAATAATCATATATATATATATATATATATTTAATCATGACTAAAATAAAAATTAATGTTTAAAACAAATTTAAAATATTAAAAAGCAAATAAAATTCAAACTAGTAGTTAAACTGCAAGTTACACTTTTAATGAAGTATTTGGCTGGACTACAGCATGATATGATTTTTTAAATTTTTTTTTTAAATCATAGCTGTGTTTTCATTGGGTGGCAGAGTTAAACTTTGAAAACGAGCATTCGCACTGATTTGTGAGGGTTGTGGTGTGGCTCTGGCGGGTTTGTGAATAGCTCTCGTGATCCGTGTGAGATACACAGTGTAATTGGACGGGCCGCAGTACTGGATTCTCCCTGTGTGTCTCAGGCTGCATCTGCCAGTGAACGCTTTACATCACAGTCTGACCACTGACCGCACAGACCTGCTGTCTGCCTGAATCCAGACCACTGAGGATAGTTTGCTTTACTCATTCCAGAAAAGAGGATTTCATGTTTACTCTTAAAAGAAAGGCCCAAAATATGTTTTATTTTTTGAAAGCAGTGCCAGAGAAAAGCTATTTTTGGTTTTGAGTGGTTGCTAGGTTGTTCTTGGTGGTTGCTAGGGTGTTGGAAAAAAACCCGAAAGAATCTTTTTCTACTATAAAGAACGTTTTGTGGACCGGAAATATTACATCGATGTTAAAGGTTCTTCATGGAACCACCGACGCCAATAAATAACCTTTATTTTTAAGTGTATGGCATCCTGTTTGTGTCTAAAAATGTTGACTTATTAGTGCAATACATTTGTCTTTGTCTGCTGTTATTGCTTTTGCACAAATAGAATGCCATCATTTTTGGAAACATCCTTTCATTAATGACAGAATGAGACATAAACAAAGAACATGCACATAATTATATACTAGGGGTGTATGATATTGACAAAAAAATGATATCTTGATATTTTGGGGATTTTTTTTTTCTTTTTTTCGATAACGATAATTACACAATAGTGTGCTTGGCTGGTTTAGGCCGGTCATGGATAAATCAATGACACTAAAACAGCCAGTAGGCGGCAGCAAGTCCCTGTCTTAATGAGTGATTCATTGAATTATTCACTCAAACCATTTGTTCAAAACAGCAGATTCAATTAGAAACAAAGCAAGTGACTGTCTTTATGAATGGATCATTAAATCACTGACTTAAGTGATTCGTTCAGAATCATTCAGGAATGAAACTCTGAGATGTAAAAATGTTCTAATCCAGCTTTGCTTGAAGAGCTTTTTGTTGGTGAAACAGACAATATTGTGTCTAAAATGTAACTCGCTGAATGTTAACTTCTTGTTTGTATAAAATCAGTATCACTCTCGTACAACTCATAATTATTATGTCACAGATGATGTAATTAAATTAAGTTTATTATGGTTTAATTTTATGAATGACTTTTATGAATGACTGCCTGTGTGTTTTAGTGACACAAGAATGCCATGTTGACCAATCAGCATCCAGGATGTGTTTTAATGCCTCATTGATCGTTACTTCTGTCTTCGTGAGAATTGTATTTCTTGAGGCCTTTTGGTTTTGTAATGAATTCAGTGGAGCAGATGAATGCAGTGTGTTATTCCTTTCACAGCAGCGACTGTTGCATAAGATCTTTATTTAGTAAAAGCCTCTCAACGCTGAGGAGTTTCAGTCCGGGACAGACGCTGTAAAGCTCTGCGCTTTCACCTCTGTCCGAAGTGCTCCTCAATGGGCCATATTAAAGTCACACAATCACTTTATTTACTTTTTTATTTCTGATTTATATTTATTCGTGCATAGTAGCCCAGTCACATTTATTAAGAATGTATGATGCGAGTAGTTGCACAATGTTATGTAATTATGTGGTCACTAAGATCTTCTTAGGGGTTTTTAGAATGTTGTTGTTTGTTGCTAGGGTGTTCTGAGTTGTTTTTAGAATGTTGTTGTTGTGTGTAGCTAGGGTGTCCTGGGTGGTTGCTAGGGTGTTCTGAGTTGTTTTTAGAATGTTGTTGTTTGTTGCTAGGGTGTTCTTGGTGGTTGCTAGGGTGTTCTGAAGGGTTTTTAGAATGTTGCTTGTTGCTAGGGTGTTCGGAGTTGTTTTTAGAATGTTGTTGTTGTTGTTGTTTGTTGCTAGGGTGTTCTGGGTGGTTGCTAGGGTGTTCTGAGGGTTTTTTAGAATGTAGTTTGTTGCTAGGGTGTTCTGAGGGTTTTTTTCAAATGTTGTTGTTTGTTGCTAGGGTGTCCTGGGTGGTTGCTAGGGTGATCTGAGTTTTTTTTTTTTTTAGAATGTTGTTGTTTGCTGCTAGGTTGTTCTGGGTGGTTGCTAGGGTGTTCTGAGGGTTTTTTAGAATGTAGTTTGTGCATGATGGTGATCTAGTCATGCAAAATTTTATTATCACTAAATACCAAACAATGCAAAGTGTCACATTGGGATATTATCATAAACTTAAATTGTTAGTTGAAACCAGGATTATTACAGTTAACTAAAATCAACTCTAAAACCTTTTAAAAATAAAATAAATTTTATAAAAAATATTACAAAATTTATTAAATTAAAATGAAATAAAAACATTAAAAGCTTTCAATGAAATAAAATATTTAAACCTTAAATGTAAACATTTTATTTCAGCTAGTTGCCAAAGAAACATTTATCATTTTAAATTTAAGTTGATGTAAAATTATTCAATCTAAAAATACAGATCAATGAAACGCGCGCACACACACCTGTATAAATTTAAAATTTTAAATGGAATAAATTCAATTAAAACAGAAAATACTCATTCAAAACATACAAATGATAATAGTATTTCAATTAAACTAAAATAATGCTTCTTGCAAGAAAATAAATATTAACTGGTGTGTGTGTGTGTGTAGTAACTAATAAAGATGCTAAAAATGCACAACAATTTTACTAAATAAACTTAAAGTGAAAACAAAAAAATAACAATTCAATATATTAACAAAAGGTATAATAGTATGACCCTGCAATAATTCTTTGTTAAAGGGTCATGAAACTGCAGATTCATCATAGAAGACAATGTTAGCATCTGATATGTGTATTTGGGAGACAAATCATACGCCAACCATCTTGACATACTTGTGACGTTAAACACAACAACAGAGAATCTTTAAGGGATTCCTTTCATTTTCCATCAAAATAAAAGTTTAATGGTTTCGACAACCATAAATATGAGAAATATTATAATTATCACTTATTATTATTTATTAAATACACAATTTTTTATTTTATACTGAAATTACAATAGTAATGGTTGTAATTTTTCTTTTCAATTTTATTATTACTAAAAATATAACCGTAATTTCTTTTGTTGTTGTTGTTGTTGTTGTAGTAGTAGTAGTTTTCTTAAATATTCAGTTTTTGTATTTTTCACACTAGTAATATTTCCTATTTCATTTTATAAGAATTATTATTATTTTATTTTATTAAATATGCATTTTTCATTTTGCCATGAAATTACAATAGTATTTTTGGTATATTTTTATTTAGTAGTAGTAGTAGTAATAGATTTTGTAAATATACATTTTTTTGTATTTCTTTACACTAGTATTTCCCATTTCATTTTATAATACTTTTATTTGATTTAAATATGCATTTTTCATTTTACAGTGAAATGAATAATAATTAGCCTCGAGGGCCTCGTATTAATAATAATTAGATTTAGCATTATTATTAATTTCTTAGTTTTTTTTATTTTTATTTAGTAGTAGTAGCAGTAGTAGTAATAATAATAAATATAATAATAATAATAATAATACAATTATTTAAATGATTGTATTATTATTATTATTATATTTTTTTACAATAGTCATATTTCTTTAGTAATTTCTTATTTAGTGATTTTTATGTTTATATTTTCATTTAATATTATTATTATTATTATTATTATTTTGTTTTATTAAATATGCATTTTTTCATTTTACAGTGAAATTAATAATAATTAGCCTCGAGGGCCTCGTATTATTAATAATTAGATTTAGTATTATTATTAATTTCTTAGTTTTTTTATTTAGTAGTAGTAATAATACAATTATTTAAAATAATTTTTACTTTATTTTTATTTTTTACAATAGTAATATTTCTTTAGTAATTTCTTATTTAGTGATTTTTATGTTTATATTTTCATTTTAATATTATTATTATTATTAGTAGTAGTGGTAGTATTTATTTATTGTATTTTTATTTTATTTTTTTAGCCATATTGGTATATACAGTACAAAAGTTCAGCCAAATTGTGCAAACCTTCAAACAAGAACAGCAAACCTGGAATTTTTATCTGACAATCCCAAATCGTGCCCTAGTTTGTGGTTGTTTCGTTTCTGGATTATATTTTGATTATAACAGAATTTTTATGTTTTTCTGCATTTCATCTTGTAGTCCAGGAATAGCATCAGGATCCAGACCTGGTCTCTGTTGCTAAGCGACATGTTTTTTACAGGTTCTCTGGACGCTCGGTTGCCACGAAATTAATCAGCACAGTTAATTCCCGTATTATCAGTGCATGTAAGAGAAGAAGCCAATGTTTGCTAATGCTGAGGATCACGTTCATGAACGGCCCAACCAGACCATGCATTCGGCCCCAGCGCAACCCAACACCTCGCCTTAAACTGGGTCAGGGCCAACATCAACATCCTCCTGTCCCTATCCCACACACCTGCCGGCCCACGTGTCGCGACGTGACGTCATCGTGAACCAACCACAACGTCTGCGTCTCCTCCAAAGTTGCACTGCAGTTCCTGATTGATCACGTTTAAGGAGACCGTCTACCCAAAAATGAAAATCCTGTCAT